CTGTGGCATCTGCAATGCAGAGAATCACTCCCTTTTCAGCTGCCACTGACACTCTTCTATAACAATATATAAGCTTTTTTAAGAGTTGTGCGGAATGCAAAGGCTTCCCCTCACCTCATGCTTGCAGGTTAATGCAACATTTCATCTTAAGATGCTGTTTTAAATTTCAGCAGAACTAGAATGGCACAAAAATTGGAGTTTTCTACATTCTTGCAAAATTGCCTGTAGCAGAAATGCAAATCTGTGCTATTTCCAATACATTTATGAAAGTGCCTATACTAGGTTAGAGCCTATAAGAAATAGACTTATTTTTTTAATAAGATAGTGACATAAGACATAGACTTATCTTGGTTTCAGTAGCTCTCAACTACACACAATACCTGTTAACATGGAATCAAATTTCCATTACAGTTGTTTCTCAGCCTGCAACAAGATAACAGTGATGTAACAGTACAATGTAATGACACTTGGGGAAAAAAAAAAGTACACCTAGCTCTTAGTGCTCAGTTCCTTAAAAAAAAAAGGTGTACGGCTGATGAATAAGATATAGTTGAAAACTAAGTAGACTTTCCACTGTCCTTAGGTAGGGGGGAACTGAACTAAAGGCAAATATTTGCTATACATTTATTTACATAACATTTGCTACTACATTTATTGCATTTTAAAATTACTTCAAAAATCTCATCTGAATATGACTTCGCATACAAAACTGGAAAACTAAGATAAATTATCTTCATATGTTCCAAAAGTTATCTCAGTACTAAATAGTCAGCTCTCACTGACTATAGATGGAGAACATACATTGTACTAATAAATGAGATCTTTCCTGCTCATCCCTTGTTTCGAAAGATCTGCCCTCAATGTTGGGTATGTTAACAGCTGTAGTTGGTCTCCTTAGTATTTCCACTACAAAGCAAATACAAAATTCAGTTTACAGAGGCTACCATCTCTACTGAGAATTTTCAAATCTGTCAGTGGAAAATATAAAAATACTGAGAGGAGAGCATGATGAGTCTGACGAATAGTTCCAAATGCAATCTCCATTTTCTTTAGTTACCCATTTACTTTTAATGAGCACCTTATGAAAAACTTCATAACAGAAAGTTAAGGAGCTTTTTGTTTTAGAGAGAGCTACCAACACTACCCGTGACCCATAAAAAAGACCTTTAAAATAAGGTTTTTCTGTGGTACATTCTTGCTATTTTGGGAATAGAGTACAGAAAAGGTGGCTCATTCACCTTTTCAATCCTGTTACGGATATTAATCCATGACACTGCATTACAATGCAAGTTTAAAAAGTTACTATCTTCCTTAAGTGAAGACTTCATTTACTTTTGTATGCCAAGTAACACATACTTCAGAGCTCTGTATGGCTTTTTGTGTTTGGTTTTTTTTCGTAGGAAATTCCCCACACACCCCATACACTATACTCTTTTAAACTATTAGTGCAGGTAATTTACCATTAAGTTGCTGCCCTACACTCCACAATGATTGAAGATGGTTTAGCAGGATGGAAACCCTCAGTTCTCTTCTGAGATAATGAAGGGTTAACTTCCCAACCGGTGAAGTTTCATCTGACTGCCCTTGCCTCACAGTAGGACAGTGACAGATTCCAGCAAAGAACAGAAAGGAAAAATGCAGCCAAGTAAGGAAAACACTTTGGTCAAGCAAATACATCAAGCAAACACATCAGGCAAACCTCAATGTCAGAAAAACAAAGCCCGGAACAGCAGAAGCCTGCACTGCAAAGTTAAAGTCTAGTTACTTTCACAGAAATATTTTTCCTCACATAGAAAACATCACGAAAGCCTTGGGAGGTAAAAAAAAAAAAAAAAAAAAAAAAAAAAGAGAGAGATAGATGCTTGTTCAACAGCTTAAAAGTGAGAAGTCATCCTCAATGTAGCTAATGTTGTTAAAAAAAAAATCTGTACTTGAGGCTAGAAAGCACTAATATTTTAAGTTACAGCACCCATATTGAAACTGAAGGTAAAAGGAAACCTTATAAATGTTACAAAATCTTACAATTAAAAGCTAGATAACTGCCTGTCTGCATACACAATAATCAAGGAAAATATCTAAGATGGATGTTATTCTCTGTGTTACTATTATTATCAAGATATTGTACAGTCAATATTAATGAATACAGACCTGTAGATAAAACACTACTGGATACACTGAGGATATCCATTCCCTTGTATTGCTCAAAATTAGAAAGATTTCTTCATAGATCACTGGTTTCATGATAGTTTCTTATTACACATGTTAAACAGTTCTAATGGAAAACAAAATCACCCCATAAATTAACAGAACAATGCAATCCTTAATAAAAGGGTACAAATTTCATATATGCATGTTTTAAACACCTGAATTTCAGCATCAATTCTGTATTAAACAGAAAACACAATTTAAACCTATTTTCTCAGAAAAACCACAAAAATATATTTCTCAGAGATAAAATAGGAAGGAGTGAGGAAAAGAAAAAAACAAAACCCTGAGAAACACAAGTGCTACATTTATAGGAACACAGCCATTTATAAAACGCCTTTTTTTTAAATGGCTGCCTTTCAAGCTGTGCCAACACTACAACAAACATAAAAGATCTGCTTCCCTAGCAGATTTAGAAGAATAAGCAATTACTACATTAGAGAAAATAGGCTCAGAATTTTCCACCAATTGGTAACTGGCAGCAAAGCAACTCTTTATTTGCCAAACCCCACAAAGCCCTTGGGTACCAACCTCTACATATACCAGCAATGAACAAAGGAAAAAAAACCAACCAAAATGCCCTATTGCCTCAAACTGGGGTCAGCCCTTCACTTTGGGGAAAAAGAAACAAATAACAAAAAAACCCAGAAGTCCCTATCCTCCTAGATAAGCAGAAGGAGGCTTTTATTACTGCGGTGTTGAAAGCTGTACATCTTCTATTCGAGGCACTATATCCCACTGACCACATCATGATTACACTATGGTTGGGCAAGCAAAGGCTCCTTCCAAAAGCCTATGGAAAAGCAAAAGGCTTTTCTTTCAAATGGAAAGGAGGTTTCCATGTTTATGCACTGCTACTACTGAAAGAGTTTACACAGAGAGGCAGCAGTAAAGAGCAGTAAGGAGCAGCTAGTTGCAGACTGTTAATAGTGAGAACTAGAGATATCCCGATCCTGCTTGAGAACACCTACATCTACATCTGCTATCCAAGTTTGATTACTGCCTTTACCATAGAAGTGCAGAAGGAGGTACCGCAGCAATTGGAAATGTTATACTTATTTTGGAGCATTACCAATGGTTGGTCGTCCTCTCTGTGAACTGAAGACAGCCACCATCCAACATGCGTGACAGTAATGTGCAAGCAACATATGTGAGATTTAATTTTAATTAATTTTATTGATCCCTGATGCACTACTGCATCTTCCAAATCAATGCAGAGCAGTGAGTTTCTACTATATTGACAACGCAATAGAAGACATGAATCCAAATTTTTGTACTTTCCTGACTCTTTCCAAATCTACCTCTACCTACTTGCTTGAGAAGATAAGAATCTTCTTATCTAAGACAGTAGCAGAAGACTTTATGGGCAGAAGAGACTAACTACTGTACAATAAATATCCTCAAAGCTATTTTATAATGAATTAAATTAAACATGATTAAAGCACATTTTGAGACTTGTAAAAAGAAACGCATGTTCCTAAAAAGGATTCTCTCTTAACAAATCTCATTAAAAAAAACAAACAAGCCTATTAGAAGAACTAAAGAGCACATTATAGTGCCACAAAATACCGAATATCAAGACTCAGTGATGCATTTGCCTTCCTATTTTTAATACCAAAGAACAGAAGATCTTTTCAACTATTGAGCTATAAAAAGTGTATCCACAACACACAGAACATAACCAGAGAGACAATCTGCATCAGTGCACTTGTTCTGGAATACATTTACTAGCAACTTTCAACATATAAAGGTGCTTCTTAAGTACCTAAGTCTACAGGATTACAACCATTATAAAAAGCTTGACAATAAAAATTCCCACATCTGCTTGAACACAATTGAAACTTTTACAAGTAGCTCATGCAAATATATAGGTGTGCAGGTGTGCAAAAGGACCTATTGAATGAGCAAGGATTCTTATATTCAGTCAACATTACAATACTCCAGGTATCCGATACAGAATGTGATCTACTTTTCAGCCTGTGCTACTCTGTATTACTGAGGTCACACCTGCCGAAGTTCCACATCAGCATCAAATAAAAGTATCAAGTATCAGAGTCCTTTCCATGAAGGGCTGAGTCATTCACCTGCCAATGAATTCCTGACACTTTTACCTGGTGCAGCAGAACATTTTGTGGGCAACTCAGAAATACAAAGGAGTGAGATAAAAGACCTGCCACAGCATTAATCCTGGCAGTACTTTTTTGCAATGGTAAAACTAAAAGCAAAAGCAAGTTGCAAAGATATGACCACTCCTCCCAGAATTATTCATTTCAGATAAAATTCTTGACTTTAGACCATGTCAGTTACTACCTTCAGAAAGACATTTCAGTACTTTTGCTATTTAAATAGCAGTCTGTGGAAGTTAAATGGAGGTGACAGCAATACTTTTCTTATACCACTCAGCACCACGTAGTAGTCTCAAAACATGACTCTGCTTCTGAAAACACATGTATTTTAACAAGTTTGCTTTCAAAATGTTTCAAATAAACCACATTACTTAACAGGCACTTTATTTAGCAATGTAACAGAATTAGTTACACAAAAGATACTCTAATTTATTTTTTTTACTTAGAATGTAAAGCAGTCAACTTCTTTTGCATTATATATATAATTTTAATTGTTTTGTAGCTATTGACATTTTAACACAAATTTTAAAAGCTGCAGTTTATTCAACTGTCCTTATTCAGAAGCAGGTCAAAGCATATACAGTAACCTGAATTCAAGTTATGAAAACAAGGAAGCTTAATTAGATTAACTTATAATTATTAGATGTTCACAGCAAATCATTCTCCTACCTGTTTTCCATCCAGTGTACAAAGTCTCTTGACTACACCTGAGTCTAACTTAATGGCTTCTGTGATGTCAGTCAAGACCTGTTCGAAGGAGTGAGCAGTCTTCTTATTCAGCAGAATTCTCACAGCTTTCCGTGGCTTCACTCCACTCCTGATAACAGTCACTAACTTGGGTTTAATGAAATCTTTACTCTCCTTCACTTCACTCTTTGTGGATGTCAAAGATGTCAAGGATCGAGTGGACCCAGTCCTTATGTTCACACACCAGTTTGGATTGACATTCTTGGTGTAATCAACTTTGCGATATGGTTCATTGGATGCACATACATAACTTTCACCTGAAAAGAAGATGACATTTTCATAATTTAACGAGTTTTTCTTTAATTGACAAAAAATTGCTGGGGACAAAAAAAAAAGAGACAAGTTTTTCAGAAGTAGTGATTTTCCTGTATTTCAACTGCAGGCCATTTTAAATGAAGGACACTAAATAATCAGAGCTTGCCACACAAACAGTACTCTCATAGAGTGGTTTCAACAGGTTTCAGAAGACCTCCAGTTAAGAAAAAAAATCAAGTAACAGGTAATGAGGGGTAGCTCCTTCCCTGCTACCAAAAAAAAACCCCAAAACCCTCACAGAAACCCAATACAATTCCTCAATTATATACTTCAAGATGCGTACACATATACCTATGTTAAATAATAAATTATTTTCAGAGCAGCCAGTTTTAACAAGATCCTCATCCTGAAGGAGACACTAATTTACCAGGAGTTAGTTGCCTTTCTACCAAGGATGCACTGATGGAATGTATTCACTTCATCATTTTTGAGACAAACACCTATTGAGACCACAAATGAGACACTGAGACTACACAAATATTAGAGGGCATCTACACTTACCAATTTTAATTTATTTCCTAATTCAAAGCCTGCATTGTTGATATCTTCTGAAGTGATGAAAGGAAAGGGAGGTCAGAGGACAAAAAATATTATAATAGGCTGGTAATACATACCTATACATCAAATTATTTAAAGTGGCACCAGTCACGATGCAGACATAAGGAATTTGTAACTTTTCTCAACTCCTTGACATACTGCAAGGCTGGAGACTAACTGGCTTTTTTTTTTTTCCCCAGATGAGGACAGTTTTCTCTTCAAACTACTGCTTGTTGTTTACCACAACTCTTTTAACGTCTGACAGTAATATTTAAGATGCAGACCATGACAAAGGACATCCCTAACTCCGGGTCATTTCTGTAACCTACATCCTTGGGGTCTCCTAAAATGACATCCAAAAACTTTCTCAAAGAGGTAGCATATTGTCACATAGATGAAAGGGGAGCATTCCAAAGTGACAAAATACACCATCCTCCAGGCAGAAGAGCCACATATTGCTTAAAAAGCTTAGCCTGTTCCAAGATTAAAGCTACATGCTCAATGTCACTGGTGGAACAAACCAAACTCACCTCCTATGTACACAACAAAAGGAGTAAAGAGTATACATACATCTACAGGACATTATTGTTAAAGTTACAAAATGTATACTCATGTTTAGATACATACTAGCAAAGTTTTAAATCATACTTTTACTTTCTGAACTCTTGTTTGGAGAGCTGATTTAGCTTAGAAGTTGTATAGCTTATTCTGAAAGTAAAATAGTAAATTACTTTAAAATGCCTGAAAAACTACTGCGACATGAAAGACTTCAGTGTATTTCTTCTCCCATACCAATTAGGCCACTTCTAGTTTATCATTTCTTTAGACCTTCTTGAAAGTTTACTTGCTGTATTTGAAAGAAAACAGATTACAATTAAGTCAAGTTCACAATGATTTTTTTTGGGAAAGTCTGGCAGCCAGTTTTGGCTCTACAAACATCACTGAGACTGTACTCCACTGAGGTACAATGAAACAATTTGGTGTGAGGTTTTCTGGATGCCGCAGCCTTGCCTGTATTCCTCCTCTTCACTCATCCGCATAATCCCTCCTCGTATTCATAGACCAAGTGGTACACAAAACAGAAATCAATACAGACAAAATCAGACAACTTCTCTTTCCCCAGAAAATGAGCAAAGAAAAATGAGCTGTAAAGAAAAAGAAAAGCCCTAAACTCCTTGGATGGGATTTGCACACAGCTGCATGCACACTAGCACTAATCAGGTAGTGGAAAAAAAAAACAACCTACCCACACAGCTTAGGAAGGACTGTGGTGGCCTAGAAGCTTACATCACCCCAGAACTACATGCTAAGTTGCAACAAGTCTCCAAGCAATCTGATTTAATCAGACCTGCTTTCAGCAAGACACTGGATGAGATGACCTCAGCAGGTCCCTTCCAAACAAAATTAGCCTATGATTCTAAATAGGCGGACAGTTCTCTTTCAACAGCTGTTTTCAGAGACATTTCACTCATCTATCCTGTTATTATGAAATAGCATGAGATATTCAAGTTTTGTGGCAGCAGCTCAGTTACAACAGAAAGCAAAGGCTTCCCCCTCCTCACCCCCATCCTGTAATACTGGATCCAAAGGACTATGCTTATTTTCTGAACAAATTATAACAAGCCATGAAACTGTCTATTCCTAAACACTGTGCTGCCAAATAAGAAGCATCTCAAAGAAGCTGGTAGTTCCAATTCATACCAATACTGACTAACATTATAACTGCTAATCATGTTGTTATCTTCCCGTCTGCAACTAGCTTATTGTGTGATTCAGAACCCTTAGGAGGTTTTTTCCCCCACTATTACATGCTGAACTTTTATGGATGCACCTAGCAAGTTACTTTGGTTTGTGTGTGTTGGTTAAGAATGCTAATTATTAATTCCTCCTACAAAAAATGAACAGAAGATAATTTAGTCATCATTCTGGATGCATAATATTAGGCATTCAACTTTGGAAAGTCCCTGACCACTTGCTTTGAAGTGTATTGAACTGCATAGGACTTGGGCAATGTTTAGTCATCCTCTGATAATAATTTATGTATAAATAAACCCAATAGCATCCTATGGATGAGGATACCTTTCTAAACACACTGAATGTCCCTAGCAAATCAAAGATTTTACATAAGCTTCAGTACACGAAGTTACCTACCACTTCAGAGTAACCTCTTCAATACAGCCCATCCAGCAGTGTGCAAAATAGGTAAAAAAATTCCAACAATCAGCACTATAAGATATGTCAAAACTCAGCATCAGTGAACATGTTCAGAATTATCCTTTCAAACTCAAAGAGACTGCACTTCCTAGACCATTCAAAAACTCAATGAATGCAGACAATTCAAAGTTAAACCTCAGAGCTGAGGCTTAAATTATTAAGAAGTTAAAAAACCCCAAAACAACACCACAACACCCCCCTCCAAAATTAAGGTTATTCAGAAACAGGCTTTCCAACTTGAAATAAATAAATGGCTTTACATAAAGTAGTACAGGTAGAGAACAAAAGGTCTCTTTGCTAGAGGATTTACCATAGAAGAATCTCAATGTCATATGTTAGCTTTATCTTTTATGGACATATGTTGTAACAGAATATCTTCGCTATACATCACAGAATGTGATCTACTGTCTGTTGGAGTTGTATTACAATACTCTTTAGGACAACTGAAATTGTCCTTTTATTATAGTTTCAGGCAGTATTAATCCAAAAGGATCTTTATTTATTTAAAACAGCAGTGTAAAACTCTGCCTTCTACTAGCTCCCTTACTTGAAGCATGAATAAAATAATTTCTTGATTATCTGAATAGGTTACAATAACTGTTTACTACAGATTTCTTAGTCTTATTTCTTCTCCTTTAAGCAGAGACCTTAGTTTTCTTCTTCTGATAAAAAAAAAATAGGAACTGCTTTAAACTTAAAACATTGCAATACCTTAAAAGAAAAAACTTCAAATAACTTGTTTCAACTGCATTTACCCAAGAAAATGTTTAAGCAAATTAAAAAAACTGGCAGGTGTAAGTTAAATCACAACTACAAAGTTCACTACAGGAAACTTTCATACAGAATAGTATAATCAAAAAGTATAATTAAGAAAATACCATCCATTGATGAGTAGGCATTATTTTTTGAACACTGTGCTACTGTTTAGATTTATTTTAGTCATCCTCCGAGGCAGAAAATGCATTTATATGTCTGTTCAGAAGAAACATCAAATAATTTGTAAAAGTATTATCTCTCTTTTAAATTATATTTTGTAGGTAAAAAACCTGAAAGTGTAATGTTATATATAATATTTTCTCACAGCTTTAACATCTGTCTTGATTTTAAATCTGCTTGGGATTAATTCAAGTACAAATGGACACTTCTGATAATCTCCACACTCTCCCAGAAAATCAGTATTTGTAAAATGTAACACAGAATCATAGAATGGTTTGGGCTGGAAGAGACCTTCAAGATCATCTAGTCCAACCGCCCTGCCATGAGCAGGGACACTGCACTTAATTTGTTTGTTTGTTTAAACCACTCAAATTGATTTCAAACTTGGTTACAAAGTAACTGATAACTTTAGAGTTCAAATAACATATGTAAAAAAGTCTGGCTGTTTCACTTAATGCCTTGAATGAGATTTTTCATGTGTCTAACCTAAATAAACATAATCTCAACTGTTAAGAAAATATTTTCTGACGTTTCAGTGGTATTTTGATCAGGCTGTAGTTTTTTTGTCCTTCCTATATCTACCAGCCCTAGACAATTGACAACTCCAGAAATAGGCATAAACAACACTTCAAATATTTACATTGTTTGCCTCAATATGGTTTATTTTATGGTTTGAAGGCCCACTGTCTATTTACAGTCTTGAAAGATTCTAAAGCTAACAGATACTAGCCTTAACTGGTATGCAGTCACAACAGTTACATTACTGGGGAAAAAAAAATAGTGTATCTTTAAACTTACAACATTAGCATTAACATGAATCATCTCCCTAGTTTTCAGACCAGATCATGAAGTTAGTCACTAATATTACATTGGGATTTGCAGGTAAAGAAGTGAATTATAGATTAATGAAGTACTAAGATCTATTAAGCAATATTTTTTTTTCTTAAACAGGATAAAGAAAGCAAGAATTACAGACATAGGTTACAGCTGAGATTCAACCTATCCTACAGCAGAAAGCTTAACCAGATTGCAGAGAAGTTTTGGTGGAAGTATGAAACCTCCTTATAAATTGGCACTATAATTTCAACAGAGCATATGTGCCATTCATCTGACGCTTCATGACAGTACCCAGAGCATTCTAAAAGTGTCACTTCTTCCACGAAAAAGAGAACCTGCTACCACCAAAAAATCCTCAATTGTGGCATATGCTTACTTAAAAGGAGTAATATCTGCTGATATTTTGGGTCACAACATA